CTGTAGGAATTTTTTAAAAAACCAAACTGCTATTTATATAACGTGAAGTTGACCATTTTAAGCTGTTAAAAGCTAGTAACAATTCGGTGACATTTAGTTCATTTGTAATGTGTAACAACCTCTTCTATAAAATTTCAAAACATTTTCATCACTCCAACATCAAACCCCAAACTTCTTAAGGCAGTTATTCCCATCCCCTCTCCCTCCCTCAAGCTCCTGCTTTCTGCCTCTGTGATTTTACTTTGTACAAATAGAATCATATATAATATGGTACCTTGTCTCTGGCTTCATTTTTTTTTCAGTGCTGGGGATTTGAACTCAGGGCCTTGTGCATGCAAGTCAAGCACTCTACCACTGAGCTACACCTCCAGCCCCTGTCATAACAATTTTATGGTTCACCCATGTGGTAGTCGGTATTAGTACTTCATTCCTTTTTGTCGCTGAGTAATATTTCACTGTTTTGGCATACCATAATTTTTTTATATCTGTTCATCTGTGGTGAGGCATTTGTGCTACTCTCACCTTTTGGCTATTGTAATAGCGCTGTTAGTATTTCTTGGAGTACCTGATCTCGGTTCTTTTAAGGTAACTTCTAGGAGTAGAATTGCTAGTCATATGGTAATTGGTCTGTAAGATTTTTTAAATGGTTTGCCTTTTGATTTCTAGGGTCAAGTGTAATTTTTAAAAAGTGCTGGGTATGGTAGTGTATGCCTTTTGCTCCAGCAATCAGGAGGCTAAGGCAGAAGGACTGTGAGTTTAAAGCCAGACTGGGCTACCTGCAAGACCCTGACTCAAAAAACAAAGAGAAAAGTAAAAGAAAAAGAGGAGGAAACAAGAAAAGAAATGAGCAAAGGACAGAAGCCAGTCTGTTGGTCTGCAGAACCTCATTGCCCTCCAGGGCCACCACCTCTGCAGACACCATGGTGATGGACAGAGACTCTGGGCCCTGTTTGCCTTAGCCAGGCTGGGAGCATTTCCTCGGGACCTCTCTGAGGGGTGTGAAGACACCAGGGGTCCTGGTGGCCAGAGAGAGGGCTGCCTAAGTGCTGTCCGGGCAGAGAGCATTTTAGAAAAGACCTTTTTTACTTTCTTTTGGTGCTGGGGAATGAGCTTAGGGCCTTGTGCATGCTCTGTACACGCTCCACCCTGAGCTGTGTCCCCAGCCCCAGAGTGTGCTTTAAACATCACATTTTCAACCTCCTGGCCGTGGGCCAGTCCCTCACCCCACTTCAGCTCCCTCTGCGCAGTGCTGTGGCTGAGCCAGCTTGCTAAGCAGTCTGGCACCGTGAGGTTCTAAGATGTCTTGCCCCTCCCTCCCTGCCTCTGTCACTGTCCTCTTCATCCTAGACTCGAAGCTCCGTAATTGAGTGCACTCAATTTTCAAGCAAAAGGAAAAAATCAGAACAGTAAGATAAATACCTGTATACTCATCCATTGCTACCACTTTGCTGTTTTTGCTTTTATCTGCTCTGAGTTTCTGTTCTCTGAATCATTTGAAGGATACAAACATCATAGTCCTTTATCACAAATACTATAGCAAGCATCTCTCAAGAATAAGAACATTGTCACTGGGGATGTGGCTCAAGTGTTAGAGCACCTGCCTAGCCAGCGCGAGGCCCTGAGTTCAAATCCCAGCACCACCCCCCAAAAAGAATATTCTTCCCCATGTTTTCATACTACCATTATTATATTCAAAAGTGAACACTAATTCCCTAACGTCTTATGTCCATTCTCCATTAAAATGCCTTTAATCATCCCACAAATGTGTTTATTTGAAGTGAGATCCAATCACGTGTTGTGTATTACATTTGGTTTTGTTTCTTTGGTTTCCTCTAATGTAGAATATTCTCTCTCCTCCCATTAGGATTTTTCCCCTGAGACACTGACTTGTTGAAAAGACAAGACCAGTAGTCTTGTAGAAATGCTTAGGTTCTGACTTGTTCACTGGTTTCCTTATGGGGTCGTTTAATTTGTTCTCCTACTAGCGCATTTCCTGTAACCTGGAAATTAGGTCCAGAAGTTTGATTAGATTCAGATTAAATGTTTTTGGCAAGAATCCTTGATTTTATAAACTTCATATTGCCTCCCATCAGGAGACATGAAAGTTCAAGGGCCCATTATTAGCAACACTAAATCTAATCACTTTGTAAGGAGCTAATTGCCAGGTCTGTCCAATTTATGAGCGACCTGAGGGTGACACTGAGACAGTGTGAACGACCACATCCACTGGTCTTCACTTTTTATATAGGATACTGTGAAACTGGTAATTTCCTAAGCCTGCCACTGCCTCCACATGAGCTAGTGGCTGTCCTGCCAAGGGTGCTGTCCTTCATCACTAGAGATGGCTGGGGCCATTCCAGTGTCTGGGTGACTGTGTAATTCTTTCCCTTATTATGAAATTTTAGGGCGGAGAAGTTCTCCGATGGTGACAGATAACTTCTTTTCAATGTCAATGGGTTTGTATTTACTGATGGCTTCTATTCAATTGTAGTAATTATTCTTTCGTGGCCAACAGCAGCCCCTTCTAGATGGCTCTTGGGTCTTTGCTTTCTGGCACAGTATGTCTTAGACCCCCTTCCTGGAATTAGCTGTTTCTCCAAGGAGACCTGATTCCTTTTATGGTGGGAGGGGGTTGAAAACCACAAGTGGGTGAAGGTGTGGTCAGTGCTATGTGTCAGTGCTTCTAGGTTTTTTAGGGTTTTTTTTGCAGGGGGGCAGTACTGGGGTTTGAACAGGGCTCCACACTTGCTAGGCAGGTGCTCTACCATTTGAGCCACACCTCCAGCTGGGGGTAGTTTAGTTAAAACTGGCAAGGAAATAGCTATTTAAAAAAAACATAAGTCATAATAACCCTCCCTCCCTTTTTCCCTCTTCCTTCTCTCTTTCGTTCTGTCCCTCCCTCCGTCCTTCCTTTTTATTTGTTTTTGTAGTGTGCATTTGGCAAGCTCTCTGCCACTGCTGTATCCTTAGCTCCCACCAAGACCTCATCATTAATTTTCTTTCATATAACACGTTTTTTTCTTTATTCATTTATTCATATGTGCATACATTGTTTGGGTCATCTCTCCCTGTTTTTTTTTTTTTTTTGATATCTTGGTTTATATTTTCTTACACTGGAAATCTTGGCTCCCTGTTAGGAACATTGATATAATTACTTATTTGCTTTTTTCTGCCATATACTTGAAATCATGTACAAATCCCAGTAGTAGCATTTCTACCAATGATACAGCTACAGAGTGAAGTGGATGCTTTTCTTACACGTTTAAAACTGTTGCAGGTCCTCAGGTTGAAGCCCGCTGGGATATACAGCCAGAATACTGTGTGCTAATGTCCCCTGAAATAATTCTTCCCGCTGGGTGGTCTTACTAGCAATTTGTGAGATAATAGGATTGATTTCCTTCAGTTTTGTTTGTTCTTAAAGGATCTGCTTGGTTTTCCATTGGGATTTAGTCTTACTTTTTAACTATATCAGACACCGACATAGTACAAAAGTTAAACTCTAGAACTGTCATCCCAGAGGCTCTTCCCCCGCTCCCACCACAGGCCATCACTCCTCCTGCCTCTTGTGGGAGACCATTTCTTTTTTTTTTTTTTGCTAACTTCCAGTTTATCCTTCCCTTGTTTTCTTTTGCAAAACTAAGACTATCTTGTTGTTCTTCTCTTCGGAATGCCTGTCCTTGCGATCTCCAAGGAGGCCCAATCTAGGCCACCCTCTGGAGAAGTCTTTTCCAATCCTTGGAACCTCTGCCATGTCCTTTTACCCCATCTGAGTTCTAGAACATCTCTGGTCTCCATTTCCCATGGTCTCTGTCACCCCTTGAGTGTTAATTTCTTAGATCATGCATTATTGCTGTTTGAATTTACTCAGGTAAGTTTCCTGATGAGGTTGCGTGTTTTTTAAGGGTAGGATAGTGGCCAGAACCCTTCCATAACCTCCCACAGGGCTGAGCATACCGTAATATACAAGAGAGGCACGCAGTTCTTACTGGATGTGGTTATGGTCTATAAAGTCACAGTACACACTGAATTTCTGAATACTGACCCATTGCTCCCAAGGAAAATACAGATTCGGGTCATTCAGGCTTCTGGTTACATTTCCATCAATGGATGACTAGAGAGCCAAGTTGCAGGTGTGCTTTTGTTTAAACACACTTTATTTCATACACATTTCTGATTCATTAACATAATACTCACAGCAACAGCTCCGTACTTGTTCCTGACAAAAGCTTATCTACCACACGTGTTCCCCGTAGAGTGTGTCCCAATCCAGCTGTGCTTAAGGACACGAAATAGCACTTCGTCTTATGGCTCTCCATAGATGGCAGAAAGGACATTGTCCGTGGTACGCAAGCTGAAACAGGAAGGCAGAGGGCCATCTTGTTCCACCTTAGCTGGGAATGTGTGCCTGGGCCCAAGGCAGGTGCTCTACCACTTGAGCCAAACTCCAGTCCTCTTTGCTGTAGTTATTTTGGACATAAGAGGTCTCACTTTCTGCTCAGGCAGGCCTTTACTATGATTCTCCTGTTTTACACTTCCTGCCTTGGCTGAGATGGTAGGCACATACAACTGCACCCAACTATTGGTTGAGATGGGATCTCTAAAGCTTTTTTGCCTGGGCTGGTGTGGAACCACTGTTCTTCTGATCTCCATTCCCTAGAAGCTAGGATTACAGGTGTAAATCAGCAGTATCTAGCTCCCACTCCTATTTTTTGTAGTTCTCTTTCTATCTGTGAGCAATTCTAATGAGGCTCGAGTATTGATTTAGGGGTTCAAAAGCACGTTAGTGCATGAGGGCCTGTGAACTATAGAATGTGCGAACAGAGGACTGATTGAATATGTTGGATTGCATCGATTTGAATTTGCTGTGTGACCATGGACTAATTGCGTTACTTCTCTGGGCTGCATTTTCCCAGCACCTGGGAACTGAGTGAGAGTTCCTGTTTCTCTTGGCTTAGCCTCCTGTGGCTGGCGGAGTCCTGATATCTTTCTTTTTCATGCAGGTTTGTGGACTTCCATGCCGCTGCCTCCACCTGCTCGCCCTCCCGAGCCTCCCTGCTCACTGGGCGGCTCGGCCTTCGCAATGGAGTCACGCACAACTTTGCAGTCACCTCTGTGGGGGGCCTTCCACTCAACGAGACCACACTGGCAGAGGTGCTGCAGCAGGCTGGCTACATCACTGGGATGATAGGTAAGACCAGGCCTTGTGCCTACTGCATCTCAGCTGGCCCAACAGCATCCCCAGGCTGCCTTGCTTGCTAGTTACTCGCCAAGAGCTGGGTCCCGTGGGATTCTTGCCCCTCTGCACCATAGTGAAATGGCAAGAGAGGGCGTGCTAACCAATGGGTGACAGCAAGGGCCCATGTGGAGCAGCTACTGATGCCTGGAGCATCCTCTGTAAGTGACTTCTCTACCTAGACCAAGGGCTGGTGCCTGTGGTGCTGACTGCACCTCCTCTTCTGTTGAAAGAGCCTGTCATAGTTTTACAGAGGCTCAAACTGGGGTTGGGGGTGGGGGTCGGGGTGGCATTTATTGTCCCAGAAGAGCAAGCCCCAGTGGACTGGAGGAAGGACCAATTAAGGTCCAGCCTCCTCTCTTTCCTTTTCTTCCCATACCCCAAGGTATAATTATGCTAACAACATCAACACCAAGACGACCATGTGTGAAACTCCCATGAGGACTGACTATCCTGCTTGAACCACTATGTGCATCCATTTAATCCTGGCAGCCAGGAGGGGTTTGGTCCCAGGGCTGCCTGGCCCCAGAAATATAAGCCACACAGGGGGCTGGGGTCTTCTGCAGCTGATGTGATCTCATGCACCCCCTCCCCCTTCTTGCCTTTAACGGTCAAGTAAGCAGCTGCTCACAGATCCACTCTTCTCTCTCTACTCACTACTTCCACCTTTGTTTGTTCTGGAGAGGATATTTAAGTACATGCACTTGTTGAAGTTACGGACTAAAGCACACTTGCAGGAAAATGAAAATCCCTGGCACAGGAATGAAGAGTCTGTTGGCATCTCTCACATTTTGCTTCTGGTCTTGGTCCATGTTCATGGTGTGTTTTAACCTAGCGTGCACTGGTCCTACTTGCTTCCCCTTCATGTTATTTTATATTTCCTTGTGATATAATCGTACACATTTTATTATAATTAAAATTTTAGTACAATTTTATATGTTCATATAATACCTAAATCCTTTCCCCCCAATTTCTTTTACCTTTTTTTCACACCTAGAAGGAAATAAGGGACTCACCACACAGGATTCTGATTGTTTGTTGTTTTTGTGGACACAGGTTTTTGCTGTGTAGCTCAGGCTGGCCTCCAACTGCAGTCCTCCTGCCTCAGCCTCTCAAAAAAATTGTAAATTTTTGCTACATGCATTTGTCTGTTAAAAACAGTTTGGTAGTTTTTTTTATTGAGGCCACATCAAATAATTCACTGAGCCTTACTCCTGTGACTGCCCATTAGTGTCTCTCCTTTGTGTTGTTGAGAGGTACTACTGTTTAGATCTCTGTATTGTGTTTGTTTCTCTGTTCCCTCACATGGGAGTGGTCTCCCCAGGGCCTAGTCCTGAACTGATCAGAGGTCCTGACGTTGTCAGAGCTCTGCCACACTTTGCCCAATTATCTGGGACCAAATGCATTTACCAAGCCCGAGCGGTGGGGGGCTGAGTTTTCTCATTTGCTGCCCTGTAGGTGTCCCAGTGCTGGAGCTGCTATGGGAAGCTGTCCCTCGCCCAGCCTCTGCAGGCAGCTGACATTGCCCAGGGAAGAAGGCAATGAAGCCAGGAGGGAGCTGGGCATTTCTGAGACAATACAAGTTGGGAACTTGCATCCTGGGCTGCCTGCACCTTTGCAGGGCCCTGGTGCAGGAGGTCAGAGCTCCGGGTGCTGTGGCCACAAGAGGTGGGGAGGCTGCTGAGCCTTGAGGGTCAAGGCTTGGCCAGCTGGTGCCTCTGGGCTCCTGGGGCTGGCCTGTCTTCCCCTCAGTGCCACTTTCCTGCAAGGTTCTGAGTCATCCTTGCTTGCTTTTTGTCTCCCTGCAGGCTACTTGTCAGTTGCAGAATACAAGGCTTGGCTTTCACATGGCAAGCTTTTTTCCACACAAGCTGTTTTTGCTTCTTATCAGTGAAGCCTATAGAGAGCTGGATGTGTGAGCAGCTCCTCAGAGGGTCTAGGGGTCCCTACAGGGACTGCCTCTCAACATTTCTCTTATTTTTCCGCAGGCAAATGGCACCTTGGGCACCATGGCTCTTATCACCCCAACTTCCGTGGTAAGAATTCTTTTGGGATTCATTGCCTGGGAAACAGAAAATAAGATCTTTGCATAAAACAACCCCACTATCATGTGCTAAGTCATCCTCTTCCCAGGACATTTTCCCTAAATTAGCATATCTTCATTCACAATGTTGCTTGAGTGCATTTGGGGGCCAGTGCGCTCCCTCCCCTCCACCCCCAACCTCACATCTGTCTTACTGGCACATTCCCTCATCCCCTTCCTTGGCACCGGTCTGCTCCAATGACTGCCCTACTGGGGTTCCATCCAGTTTCTTCTGTCTCCCAGATCTTTCACCTCAGGGACCATTTAGCCCTGTGGGATCCTGACATGGTTCAACTAGAAAGAAGTGAGAATTGTCTGATGGGTTTGCTGAAGCAGGGACCCTGGTCCAGGACCCAGATAGGGGCTGCTGCCTACAGCTGTTTGCGTCCACAGTCCTCTCATCCTTGGCCTTGGGGAAATGGGGCAAGATCAAGCTGTCAACACCAATTCTCTGAAAGTACTTTTTTGAGTGACAGATTCTCTGAATGTCTAGTTCACCAAAACATGAACGTTTTTCAAAGTTGTAGCTTGTGTCTCTGACCTTCCAGTGGCCTTTTCCTTTGCATGCGAGAACCCCAGGTCTTTCTCAGCTTTCGTGGCTTTCACCTAGCCCTGGCCCTGTGTGTCCATCCCCTTCTTCTCCTGCCATTTTTTAAGCAAGGAGGTGGCCTTTTCCCTAAATGTGGTCTCTGAGTATTTGCAGACACCGCCCTGATGTCTCTCTTTTTCTCTATGAAAAAGGGCATCATTGCCTTGTCCTAGAATGGGCAGGAGGTTTACATCTGAAAGACCTTCCACATGTACTTTTTAAAAATGGCAGATGGAGGTTGGTGGAGTGGCTCAAGTGGTAGACCACCTGCCTAGCAAGCATGAAGCCCTGAGTTCAACCCCTAGTACTGTCAATAAATAAAAATGGCATATGGAGGAAGTGAAGACCTGTCTTTCCAGTAACTAAAAATGACTCCCAAATCTATTTTTCCTCCTTGGTCTTTAGTTTTCACACTTGACAAGTGAGGGGTTGGACTCCATTAGTGTACTGACCCTTTGAGTGCTTACTCCTGGAGTCCTGTTTAGAGGAAGTTGTGCCATGATGGACTTTTGGTATTTGCCAGGGGAGTGGGAAGTACAAAAAGGAAAGACAGAGTACCTCCTACATATTTTCTATCCCTGGATCAGAGAGTCCCAAAAAACTTTCTGGCTTAGACTCTGAGCTATCTTGATTCCTCTATCCTGCTCGCTCCTGCCGCTTGTTCCTTGCCCATATTCACTGGCCTCGTTCCCATGAACCTCAGGCTTCCCCTCTAAACTGCCACAGGTCCTGCCAAACACGGTTACACATTCCTAGTGTGGAACCAGACTTGTCCCGCTTCCCATGGTCATGTCTCCAGCCCATAAACCAACAAGTCCTTCTAACGCTGGGATCTGAGGAAACCTATTGTCTAGGCCAGGGGTTGGTATAGACCTATAAGCCAAATCTAGTATGCTTCCTGTTTTTTTAAATAAAGTTTTATTGGAAAACATCTGTGTTCATCTGTATACATATTGTCTACTGGTGCTTTTGTGCTACCACAGCAGAGTTGAGAAGCCTCAATTGAAACCATATGGCTCCTAAATCCTAAAATATCCTACCTAGCCCTGGTCTTGACTCATCTTGGTACCAAATACAGTAACATCTCAGGGCTGTGGGATAGCTAAACTATTTGTACAAGTCAGGTTAGCATGAGGCTAGCAATATTTTCCCCAGTACTACTAACATTGACTAGCCATTTGATATACACCACCTATTAGGTTGGTGAAACTTGGATTGTCCCAAGCCAATGAGTGCAGCAATGGAGAAGACCTGTGTCTGTCACACATGCACATAGAAAGTCTCTGAAAGGAGTGGAGGATAGGGCAGGTGGGACATGGTGCAGTGTATGGTATTCTGTAGGAAACTTCACACCAGAACTGGGCTGGCAGCACTGGTATGGCTTTGTCTGTAATAGACATGGAGCAGAGAATCCCAGGAAAAGCCACTGAGGCCCCACAGTCTGAGGCACACGGGAAACTGGAGGTATCTGGGTTCGTGTAGGAAGTTGCTTGCAAGAGACACGAGCAGGGGGCAGGAGACCAAGCTGAAGAGGAAGCTCCCCTGTTCACCAGCCTGGACTTGGAGACTGTGGAGAAGTAAAATTCCCTGGGAGATTCAAATTCTGTCCACCACTAGAGGAATAAAGAGAGCTGAAGCAGTTTCCCCGATGACTGGGAAGGCTTTCTTTATCTGGAGGATGTCTAGTTGCCAAAGCTGGGGTTGCCGAAGAGACTGGCTGAGGGAGGATGTCAGAAAAAACTTAAGCACAAGGTATTTGGGTCTCATCCTTCTTCCTTCCCCTACACTCCACCACCCCAAGCCCAAATCCTGTCACAGCCTTTCAAGTCTTGGGAGAAATGTCCATCCTTTAAGAAGCATTCTGAGATTCCTGCCCTAACCCCATCCCAGCCCTGCATCTGGGAATAACTTCATCCTCTGACTCTCTTGTTGGCTCACCTAGCCATCTCTCTCTCTCTCTCTCTCTCTCTCTCTCTCTCTCTCTCTCTCTCTCTCTCTGTCTCTCTCTGAGACAGGGTCTCAATAAGTAGCTCAGGCTGATCTTGAACTTGATTCTTCCTGCCTTAGCCTGCTGGGTGCTGGGATTACAGGCATGCACACCACACCTAGATCAGTTATCCACCTATTATGGCTTAACCTGTATATCTCATTTTCCCTGCAGATGGAAAGTCTCTTGAGACAGAATTTATTTTTTTTAATCCCTTAAAGTGCCATGCATGTACTAGATTGTCACCATACACTTACCAAACATGTCCAGAATTTCACTGAGGATGTTAGATGTTCAGTAACTCTGTCTACTTCCTCCCAATCTAGGTTAACTCTAATCACAGGAAGTTTTGCAAATCAAGTCTTACAGCCAGAACCCTGCAAAGTGATTTTCTTTGCATACTTCAAAAAGATATTAATCAAATCCTCTTTTAATTACATACTCCAGAGCACTGCAATATTAAATCATGGGAAATTAAATTTTTGTCATGGGTGTAAGAAGGCAGGCACAGTGAGAAGCAGCCAAGTGGGGTGCTAACCAATTGCCTGTCTTCCAGGTTTTCATTACTACTTCGGGATCCCATACAGCCACGATATGGGTTGTACTGATACCCCTGGCTACAACCACCCTCCTTGTCCCTCATGTCCACGGGACAATGGCTCATTGAGGTAATGCTGTTCAGTACTGATTGTGGGCTTAGAACAAGAAAGACTGCAGTCCATCCATAGTAAGTGCCTCCACTTGCTATGTGGAAGATGTGGACAGGCGCAGTTCAATCAGTGAATAACTCTAGAGTGTACATCCAGAGCAAATGCACTCTGATGCAAAGATGAGATATAATCTTTTTTCTGTGGAATTTTCCAGGTTCCTTGGATTGTTTAGCTCAGTTGGGGAGAGTTTTGTGCTGCCAAGGTCTTACACACATGGGGCCTCCCTCCTCTGCCTGCTGGCTTTGCTCCTGGTCCACTCACCTGGTCCAGATGCTAGATATAAGGAGGGCAGAGTGGGGGAGAGAGAGAGACGGAAGAGAGGAGAGGACAGGAGAAAGGAGGGGAGGGCAGGGGAGGAGAGGAGAGAGGTAGAAAGGGAGGGAAGGAAAGGGGGAGAGACAGAAAAGGTTAGAGGGATAGAGGGAGAGGGGGAAAGGAAAGGGAGGGAGGAGAAGGAGAGGAGGAGAGAGAAGAGGGGGGAGAGAGAGGAGAGAGAAAGAAGGGGAGAGAGAAAATGGGATGGGGCAGAGAGAGAGAGAGAACACAGGGTTCCTTCTGAACTTCCTCCCCACAGACAAGTCTGACATTGGAATGCTGTCCAGGCACTAAACAGGATGTTTCAAAGCATATTCAATGAAATGGGAAATGCTCGTGACATAACAGCAAATGAAAACGCAGGAACCCAGTCACCCACCAGTGGGCTCTTTGCCACCTCTGGATCCATATTTTTGTAGCCCTATCCAGAGCCTCCAAAGAGATGGGCCAAAATGTCAATAAGGGCTTACTCTGATTGTGGGACAGAAGAGCTTCAGTTTCTTCTTGCCATTGTAGTTCTCAAACATTCTGCAGGAGTGTGCAATGCCCTTCTGATGGGAACAGGATAAGCCTTACTCAGTAGGAAGTCAGCACAAACCCAGTGCTCCACTGTTCACACTGCACTATGCTTAGTTCTAAGGCCACAGGTGTCTCAGCTGCTTGGGGAGTGCAAGTCTCAGCTGCTCATTAATAACACAATAGTTAATATGATAATGGTTGTTGACTGGGAAATTGTTGTATTCTGGGCACTCCCTATACTTACCTGCAATCCCACGACCACTGTATGAGGCAGGTTCCTTACCTGCTTTTACAGGTAAGGAACTTTACCTTGCCTAAGTCATACCAGAGCTGGTAGGAGACAGAAACTGAACTTGCAGCCTGGGTACTTCTGAGTCTAGAGCCTATATCCTCCAGGCTTCCTTCTCGAAGGGTAGTCATGGAACCAGCATTTTGAATCTTACCTGGGTGCTTGTTAGAAATGTAGAAATTCAGACCCAGCCCCAGGTCTGCATTTTAGCAAGATCTCCACATGGTATGTGTGCACATTCCGGTGTGAGATGCAAGGCTGACGAATATCTTGCTGTCCTCCTTACTAGCTATGGCCGAGGGGCGTATCTGTAACTGCATCTCACCATATCAAGGTATGGGATATGTCAGCCAGTGTCCCAGTGTCCCCCTGTCTCTGTCTCTCACTGGGAATTAAAAAAACACTCTCTTTAATCTATATTAAAACTTAGATAGAATAAAAAGGATTAACTGAGGGGAGATGGGGAAGAAGAGACTATAAATGATGGTGGAGTTGCAAAGAGATAAGTGAAAAATGCAACCCAAACATGGAGCTAGCACTGTGAGACCTAGCATGTCAATGAGTCTTTTTTGTTCTTTCTTTCTTTTTGTGTTTTTTAGTGTGGTGTTTGATAATTATTTAACTGGTTTTCCCTTATCTCCTAGGCATCTACAATGGGGTGCATATGCATGTAGGTGTAACAGGGAGTTCCAAATTCTTTGCAAGTCCTTCTCTGCACTAATAGGACAATTAATCCTGACTGTCCTGAGAGGACGTGTGTACGCTGCCTGCCTGAGAGGCCTCCCAAGACCCCTCTCTCTCTCTCTGGTTCTCCTAGTCTTACCTAGTGTTCTGCAGTGACCAGGGCACAGAGCTCAAGCATCTACTAAAGTCCTAGTGTGTTCACAGTGTGCAAACAACTAGCCCTTCTTTCTTCCTTTTGTCCTCCCAGTACACCAGTAAGGGGGCATAGGTGACCCCATATTACAGAAGGAAAACTCAAGCTTGAGAACCCAAGATCAGGTGCAGAGGAGGTATTCAGCCATTGGTTTGACAGCCAGGTATCAGATTCATTTCAATTTGCAGACCCAGGGTGGAGTTTGTTTTTTCCTGGGAGTTGTTATTGGGCTGGCTGCATTTTTTTTTCTGAATCATTACAGTTTCTCCAAATTCTCCAAACATGGTTCAGAATTGAAATTGTCCTAAGCTTCCGTATAGATTCTGCGTTATTGTCAGACTCTGTGTTACAGGAATTCATGGTCATGGACTTAGGACAATACCAGGTGTTTCCCACCAAACTCAGAGACCGTTACTTGGCTTAGACAAAGGAGAAAGTCAGCAATGGGGCAGCTGATGGTCCATAGGATTCTCTTTGAGTCTTCTCAGACCTCAGTTTATCTCCCTGCAAAATGGGAGTATGAATGTTCCTAACTCATAAGTGTCCTAGGAACTTTACAGAATGGCCGGTCTTCCAAGGAGCATAAACATCTGTCCAGAGAGCATGGCAGAAAGCATTTGCTGCTGGTTTTACACTTGGAGGAAATGACTGGCTAGTTAAATCACTTGCAGACGGGCTATAAAGTGTCTTGTATTTATGCACGTTGCTGCATTAAAGCTTTTCACTCTGCTCTAAGACTCCTAGGTCATGGAAATGAATATTCCATTATTTGTGGTTTCCATGCAGGAACCTTGATAGGGACTGTTACACAGACATAGCCCTTCCTCTCTATGAAAACCTCAACATCGTGGAGCAGCCTGTGAACTTGAGCAGCCTTGTACAGAAGTACACTGAGAAGGCAACTGAGTTCATCCAGCAGGCAAGGTAAGGAGCCCCCTGCTCCCCAGGGCTGGACTTGTTCCCACCCACCCTTCTGTACACACCATGTCCCCTGGCCTCAGCCCTCTCAAAGGCATAGCAGAGTTTCATTGCTCAACACATGTCTTCTGTAGATAAAACTGGAAAACAGTTCACCATGGGCTTTCCAGTCCTGCTTAGAAGTTCCTCAGGTATGCTCCCCAGGGAACATTCCTGGGGATTTGCCCTATCCTGTGTTGAGCCTGCCTACTATATTCTGGGGCACTCAAGGCATTTGTTGAATTCATTGGTTGGCAGTGTATATTAGGTTTCTATTGCTGCTGTAACAAATGATTACCAACTTAGTGGCTAAAACAGCATAGTTTATTCTCCTACAGATTTGAAATGAAGCCAGATGTCTGAAGTGAGTCCATAGGGCTGTCATTCCTGGCTTCTGGTGGCTGCTGGCATTCCTTGGCCTATGGTGGTATCATTCTCATCCCTGCTTCTGTCATTCCCTTACCATCGCCACATCTGTAGACAAGTCTTTCTCTGCTTCCCTCTTTTAAGGAAACTAGTGATTGTATTTAGAGCCAACCAGGAGAATCCAAGGTAATATCTTTACTTCAAGATCCTTAATTAATGATACCTGTAAGTTCACTTTGCCATCTAAGGCAACTTTTCCAGATTCTACAACTAGACCTCAGGTATGTTTTGGGGTTATAGTTAGTCTACCATACAAGAGTCCCAAGTCCCAGGTAACCTTAAAGAGGGAAACAGGCTGAGTGTGACTTGCTAGGGAGTGGTGGGGCCTGCAGTGAACCAGTAAGTGTGCGCCCCATCTAAAGGGGGCAACTGTGCTGAGGGCATTGCTCAAGTGGTAGAGCACTTGCCTACCATGTGTGAGGCTCTGGGTTCAAGCCTCAGTACCGCAAATAAAAAATAAAATATATACATAAATAAAGGGGGCAGCTGCTACCTATCTAGCTCCAGCTGCTAATCGCTTCTTGTTGGGAATGTAGCTGGAATGTCAGATCTTTCCATTTTCAAAGAAAGACAGGATACCTGATCTTTAAGTGTTAGAAACTACTAACTTAAAAGAACAAAAAGCAAAAAACAAAATCTATGCCACAGGGTGTCTTGAACAAGTGCTGTGTGTGTGAAGTCAGCTTGCTTGCAAACTCTGTCAGGTCAGAGGGACTTGTGTTTGTCCCTCTCTCAAGTTTGTAGACTCCTTGAGAGCAATGGGATGGTTTCTGTCAGGTCCGTGACCCTAGCCTAAGTGAGCAAGAAGAAGTGTGATGCATGACTGCTTGTGCAAAATTAAAAGTGGGCTCCTAGCCAGCTGCCTGTATTCCTAGCTACTCAGGAGGCAGAGATCAGGAGGATCGCCATTCAAAGCCAATTGACCTACCAATTCATCAATGACTTCCTTCCTTCCTTCCTTCCTTCCTTCCTTCCTTCCTTCCTTCCTTCCTCCCTCCCTCCCTCCCTCCTTCCCTCTCTTCCACCAGAGTTTGAGCCTGGGGCCTCACACACACTAGGCCAAGTGCTCTACCATGTGAGCTACACCCCAGCCCATATTTTGTTGCTGTTGTTTTGTTTTTGAGATAGGGTCTCACTAACTTTTGCCTGGGCTAGCCTTGAACTTGAGTTCCTCCTGCTTCTGTCACCTGAGTGGGAATTACAGGCATGAACTGCCATGCCCACTATTCATCCATGACTATAATCTTCAGCAGAAGAGGCCTCCAAGATCTCTGCTCCTTCCTCCTCACCAACCCCCACCTTTGCCTTTCACCCCTCTGCTTGGACCTGTTTGCCAAAATTGCCAGGTGCCCTTAGAGTGTGGCTGCCTGTTCTTTCTTGGCAAGAAAGCCTACTTCAGTCTTTGAAAGTTTTTAATTCAATTTAGACCCTTAGTCTGGCAGTGATGCTGACAGCATATCCTTGACTTTGATTTTTAAAGCGTAAGTCAAAGGTCCAAATAGGAAAATAGCAGAGAGAGTTGGGATGGGCTCCTGGGTTCCAGAGCCGTCCACTACTCTGCTCCTTCTAGGGTCTGGGACTGTGCATTGAACCTAATAGGACACAGAGGCCTTGACAAGGATGGCTGTGTTGGGCATAAGGATGAATGGTGGCTAGGGGGATTTAAAAATCAAAGCCATCTTAGAAATTCCAGTTTGTGGTTAAATGTTCCAGGATGTTTTAGATCCTATGTTTGGGTCCTTTCCTGAATTCTTATGTTGAAACCCTAACGCCAAATGGGATGGGATTGGAGGTAGAGCCTTTGGGAGGTGATTAGGTCTGAATGAGGTCACAATGGAATTAGTGTCCTTATCAGCAAAGGATCAGATCAGAGTGCTCTCTCTCCTTCATGTAAAGATGGAAGTGAGAAAGGCAGCTAAGAGTGAAGCCCTCTCTGGACAGTGGACTTCCAGGCCTTCAGAACCAGGATAAATGAAGGTTTGCTGTTAAAGCCCCACCCCACCCCACTCTATGGCATTTTTGTTATAGTAGCCAAGCTGCCTAAGACATGGGACAGTCATCATTCAGAACAGGTCCTGGTGATGTTCAGATGAAAACTGTCTTGGGTCACGCGCTGAAGTCTGGGGTCTGCAGAATTCTTTCTTGTACTTGGTTGTCCCTGCTTGGTTGCCTTCCCTGCTGTCTGTGGTGCTGTTCTTGCTCCATCTTCCCTCCTACCTGGCTCCCATCTAACTCTACTGGCCAGGTTTCCAGGTTCAGCTCAAAGACCATTCTTACCACATCCCCCTCTTTCTTCTTTGTCCTGCTTGAAGGCTGGGATGGAGAACAAATTGTGCATGAATTAACTCAGAAACAACTATGTGATCATATCTAACATCTTCCCCAGTGATGGCTCCTGACCTTGAATGGTCACCACACACAGCACACCTGTAGCAACCTGTCCTTCAGGTCTCATGTCTCAGGGATGACCCCCTCGCCTCTTCAGCCCAAACTTCCTTTGCTTCCCCCTTGTAACTTTCCATAGCATCCTGTGTCATTCAATCCTACTAAATTCATAAATAACCATCTCATTTCTTTTTTTTTTATAAGGAGAAAAGGTTTATTTTGTCTTGTAGTTTCAGAAGTTCCAGTCTGTGATCAATTGGCCCTGTTGCTTTGGGCTGATTGCTAGGTAACACATCATGTCAGAAAGACATGGCAGAGCAAAATTGCTCACCTCATGGCTAGAAGGTAAAAGAGAGAGGGTGAGGAAGGGGACTGGAGTCCCACTATTCCCTTCAAGGGAAAGCCTCAATGACCTGAAAGTCTCCCATAGGTCTTTCATCTAAAGGTTCCACTACCTCTCAATGGCACCACAGGCTGGTGACTGGCCTTCCTCACATGGACCTCTGGGAGACAGTTCATGTCCAAAGTACAGCAGCAGTGACTCAACAGGCAGGGCCATATTTCTCTTCACTGTCTACAAGAGTGTGATTATTCAGTTACACCCCAAAGCTCCAGACTCTTTTCCATCTTTGTGCTCTGCAGTCTTTAGCCTTAATCTTTTGATGCTGCATCTTTAGCCTTCTCATTCAAGTTCCAGGCAGGAAAAGTAGTGAAGGGAAAAGGATATCCTCTCATGAACTTCTGCCTACACACCAGTGGCCAGAAAGATGCCACACATCTGTCCACTCTGTCCAGATGGGAATGTAGATAGAGTTTAGCATTGATGCCCACCAGTATCTGCCATAGTTGCTAGCTGTGTGACCTTGGGCAGGGTGTTTAGCCCTGCTTAATCTCAACCTCCCAGAGTGTTCCTCCTCCAGGGAACCATCTCATTAATTTTAGTTGCCATTTTCTCTCTCCTATTCTCAATTAGATGTTATGCTCAAGAGGGTGGAAATCATATCTGTCCTGATGGTCACTCCATCTTCAGTGCCTGAGGCCCTAGTGAGAGCTTAATAAATAGTCATGGAATGAATCACTTTATCCAGCCCCAAAGCTGTGCTGCATAAGCACAAACTAGACTTGTCTTTGCCTTTGAGTAATGCCAAGGGTAGTGGGGAAACAACCCTGTAGAGACCTTCCTTTAATGCTGGTCATTTAGATGTTATCAGTACAGAAAGGGGAGAGTAGGGGGCAGGAAGGAGGAAGCCAGGCATGACCAGAGCAGAGGGAGTTTCACTTGGTGGCTTTTGAGCTGAGCATAAGACTTGATTAAGAGTTTTTTGGGTTTTTTGGCAAGATACGAGGGGAGGAGCTGCTGGGAGAGGAAAAGCATGGCCCAAGTATAGGAAGCCAAAGGGGAAAGGTGCCTGAGAAGCTGGCACTGAAGATCAGCCTATGAGGGGAGAGAAGGCACAGCTGGAAGAGACCAGGATGGAGAAGGCTGTGAATGCAGGGTCAACCCTGCAGTGGGCCCCAGTAGGTTTCTCAGTAGGAAGCTGCCCATCAAGTCCAGACTTGGAGAAGGTTGTCATAATGCCAAGGCCCAGAGAAAGATGGCAAATTGTATGTGTGTGGTTAGGGGCAGGGGAGCAAGTGCTATTTCAGACACTCCAGGGGGCCACCTTGAGAGGCCAGAGGATGGGGAACTGCCTCCCTTGTCCCTCCCATGCTTGAGGGAAGCCCTGCCTCCAGCTTCAGATCTGCCTCTCGGGCCAGAGATCCTGTGCTCTCTGGCCGGGGATCCTTTCTGAGAGGTGGATACCCCTTACCTACCATTCTACATTTCAAACTAGGTGTTTTCTCTGGCTTGACTGTCCCCGGGTCTTAATTTTCAGCATCTCTCCCTGCCCTGCCCTATCCTTTCTCTCCTGGAATGTAGTCTTGGACATCTTGTTGTTTTTCTCTGCTTTTCACTTTACTTGTTTTGCCACACAAATATTGTGTTTCCTTTTGAAATCTCTGAAAACAGAGCTAAGCAAACAAAAAACTTCACCCTGAATTCCACACCCAAAGATGACCCCTTCTTATGGATCCGTGTGTTCTGTCATCCCCATTCTCTGCTGGTGTGTAAATGTATTTCCTGCAGCTTTATTAAAGTATAATTGAGGTAAACTCACCATCTCATAACCAGCTTTTTTTTCCCCCACCAGCAAAGCATCAGGTCTCCCCCATTTTATTTTCCATTCAGCACTGCACATGATGAAGAAGTGGCTTGGGGGACAGATGTCCCCAGGGTACCAGTCTGTGTGGGTCCTGAATGGTGCCATCTTTAGCAAGGCTAACCTGGCATCAGGTTGTAGAGAAAGAAGTACATCCCTGGCTACCATTTTTACTTACTACTGCTGCCATTTATTACTCATAATTATTAATAAACCCCACTGTTTATTAAACTATGAGTAGTCAATAATCACAGTGACCTAGTTAGGAGGTAAGATTGCTCCAGTTATACAGACCACAGAGGTTAGGTTAATTGTCCAGTATTACACAGCTATGAACTCAAAAACCTTGGGACTTAGATTCAGGTTTCCAAAGCCTGTGCTCTCCACCTGTTCCCTTTGCCATTGTTACTTATTGCCACCTCTTTGAGCCTCTGGCCCAGGGTGCTAATGTGCTACTGATCATGGTGAGAGTTTGGCGAGGAGGATGGGGGATGGGATAAAGGGTGGTCATTGGGTCCAGGCATTGGGACTACCCTTAACTCATACTTCATGGTAAACTGGTAAATGTTTAACCACCAGCCTGGATCTGTAGCTGTGGACAATGTCTGTGCTGTAGATACTCTCACTGTGGCTAATTTCCAGCTGCCACTGAACTGGTACTGAACATGGAGTTGAGAAGGAATGAGCAGTGTATTTTCATGAGGTGTTTCCAGCACATGGGCACAACCTCAAGAGCAGAGATCCTAGTGCAATGCAGTACTTAGCAAGTGATTCATTGTGAGTATTTATGACCTGTTTAAAATATAGTTTATTTAGTTATAAGATTATGTAATTTATTTATTTTTTTTGCAATACTGAGGTTTGAACTCAGAGCCTATACCTCGAGTTACTCCACCAGCCCTTTTTTTATGAAGGGTTATTTGAGATAGGGTCTCTTGATCTGTTTGCCCGGGCTGGCTTTGAACCTCAATCCTCCTGATCTCTGTCTCCTGAATAGTTAGGATGACAGACGTGAGCCACCGGTACCCAGCTTTAGTTTAATTTTTAGTTTAAAAATTAAACTAAAATTAGCTGTTTGACAGCTGACCTGCCACATTCCTAAAGTGTGGACCAGCTGTAGCACACCTTTGCAACGTGGTATCTGTCTGCAAATCAGAAAAACATGTGTCCTCTGGGTGGGCACTGCCCTGTGCCCAAGATGCCCAACTTGGCCAGGAGATGGTATGCTGGGAACAAGCCCCCATTCATTCCATCCCTCGGCAGGACATAGCCTATACACCGTTCATGATTGTCCTCAGGAGAGTGGACAACAGGACTCTAAACCAATGCTGTCCAATAGAATTCTCCATGAGGATGCAAGTGTTTGTCATCTGCACAATCCAAGATGGCAGCCACTGGCCACCTGTGGTTGCTGAGCATTTAAGATGTAGCTGGGCAGCTGAGATACTGAGTAGAAGTGTGATATGCATGTGAGCATATTTAATTTTATATGTAGAGTTGTCCCTTGGTATCCACAGGGGATCAGTTCCAAGACCTCTTGCCCCCAGATATCAAAATCTGGGTATGCTCAAGTCCCTTACATAAAATGTCATACTTTAAATCCTCTCTAAATCTCTCTAAATCCTCTCTAATATCTATATTAGATATTACTATCTAATTTAATGTCAGTGTGATGTAAATATTTGTTATACTGTTTTGTTTATGGAATGATGACAAGAAAAGGTCCGTACGTGTTCAATACAGACAAAATTTTTTTTCCTAATATTTTACATCCATGGTTGGTTGAATCCATGGGTACAGAACCTGCAGATATGGAGGAAGGACTGTATATATAGCACAGAATTTTTAATTTGCTTAACTTATTCCAAATTTATTCTACATGCCTGAACTACTGCCTTAAATGACCCAGCTCTAGCTGTGTGGCTTGGAAACTGTTGGTTAAGGTGGGGGAGGCTGAGGCCCTGGGCTTGGGACTAGTGTTCTGGGGTTTTTGCCTTTCAGAGAAAGCTAAGGACAAGCACAGGTCCACTCAGTGGCTCTGGAGCCAGGGGGCAGGGGGCTCCCAGGACATGGCTTGATGCCAAGCCGAGGCCGTGGTACGGTGTGAACCAGGGTGATCTGAGAACACTGGGGCCAATTTGAAAGCTGAATTTCTAAACGCACTGGTACAAAAAGGGCCCTGCTTCTGTGGCCATTTGTGAACGTTCTTGACCGGGTTCCCCCATTGCCTTTACCTGAAGTCCCCTCCGTGGGTGTGACCTGTGAGAAGGGCCTCTGGGAGGGTCCCTGCTACTGCAGAAGAGGAAGGTAATGATCCTGCAGCTGCCCTTTTCTGAGAACAGGATGGGGACAGACAGCTTTCGGAAGTTCCCACGGGGGTTAGGGACAGACAGCCTTTGCTTGGAGACCACCGCAGCCACCAAGTCTTTCACTCTGCATTTTCCAGAGGACTCAGGATCAGTACAGAACAGAGCCTTGATCTAAATGCCCCCTGATGACCTTGTGTTGCCTTGGGGTTCCTTGCGGTCACTTGAGCCTACCATTCATTTCCTAGAAGGGACATGATGGCCGGGATGCTTGGACTCCACTGTGCAGCAGTTAAGAGCAAGGAGTTTGCTCTGGATCTGGATTTAAATCCAGATTCTGTCACTTACTAGTTAGAGACATAACCTGGGAGGAGTTCCTTTAATCCCCTTAACTTCGGATTCATTGTCTGAAAAGGGGAGCTTGGGAGTTATCAGGAGGACAAACGTAGACTCCGGAGTCTACTCTAATCAGCTCTCTGTAGGTCTCTAAGGACAGTAACTGTAAGAACAGGTCTCACAGTTCAACAGTGAGGCTCATTTTTAAGTGGATAGCCCAAAAATGTCCACACTTCCTTGGAAGATTGTACATAAACTTGTCCTTCCTGAGCCCCTGGGGAAGGCTCCATAGGGAATTTTCCCCAAGGTCATGAAGGCTCACAGGGACCCTGGACAAGCCAGGACAGCCTCCTGCAGTCATCTCTTGGTTCTCCTGCTTGTTTCAGTGCAGCGGAAGACCCTTCCTGCTCTACGTGGGGCTGGCCCATATGCACGTGCCCTTATCGTGAGCCAGCCATTGGCAAACGCACAGAGCCGAAGACCATACCGGGCTGGTATCCGGGAGATGGACAGTCTGGTGGGTCAGATCAAACATAAACTTGACCACACAGCAAAAGAAAACACATTCCTCTGGTTTACAGGTAAAGTAGTAAACCCCAGCCAGCCCAGCCTTGATCTAAGGGGTAACCCTGTGCACACCTGGGCTCACTGTGAACTTGGGGCCGTGCTGTTTGTTGGCTCAAATTCTCAGCATGTATGTGTTGAGCAATCCATGGATGATTCCCTGGAGAGGTTTATACAGACAAAAACACGCACCTTGCTGGCCGCATTGCTGTTGACCTAAGCTTTCTGACTTCAGGCTGATGGATGACCTTGACATTGTGTAGTTGGGTAGTCCTACAACTCCTTCTTCACCGTCTTCCCTGGACCCAAGGACTCTGGTTGCCATTGGTCACCAGATCATAGTTTTTGCTGGAGTGGCCCTAGTGGAACTGAATCAGTGGCCTTTCAAAGGTCTCACACATGCATTGTGTGTCTCAGTCCCTGTGTAGAGCAAGGGCAGTGGTTAAAAGCACTACTTTTATGGGCTGGGGTTGTGGCTCAAGTGGTAGAGCACCTGCCTGGCAAGTGCAAGGCCCTGAGTTCAACTCCAGAACCACAAAAAAACAAACAGAAATAATCCAGTACTTTTGGGTCAAGACAGAAACAATCCAGTACTTTTGGGTCAAGTCAGGACCTGGATTTGGGAGAGTTACCTTAATCCTCTAGATGTTGAAAATTTGAGCTACTGGTAGAATAGTGTATTACACTATGAGCATGCTGGAAGAGCATATGACATGCAATTAGCTGCTCAGTGAACCCTTACTGGGCCGATGCTCATCACAGTGGTAAGGGGTTGCTAAAACTGTGGAAACTGGCCACAGGCTCAGGATGGGGTTCCCCAGGGCCAGGCAAGCCCACCTTGCCTGTAGAGACAGGTTCATGTCAAGGGCATTTCTTTTTTTGATAATGTTTTGTTTTGCATTTTGTTTATTGAGGCAGGGTTTCAGCTGGGCATGGTGGCACATGCCTGTAAACCCAGTACTTAGGAAGTAGAAGCAAAAGGATCTGACAGAGAGAGAGAGGAGAGAGAGAGAGCACACTGGCCCTGAACTCTCAATCTCCTGCGTCAGCCTCCCAAGTGCTGGGATCACTGGTGTATACTACAACCCTATGACAGGAGTACTTCTTTAAGATTTAGGATCCATGTTTTCTTTAACAAGTCCTCTTTCCAGTCCCTGCTGTGCACAGGGTCCAGGAGGAAGAGTCAGTGAAAGTGTCCCTCAGCCCTTTGACCGTCATGTGTTGCTTTTCTTGGTTTCTAGGAGACAATGGCCCGTGGGCTCAGAAGTGTGAGCTGGCAGGCAGCGTGGGTCCCTTCACTGGATCATGGCAAACTCACCAAGGTAGAGGCTCAGCTGGGGTTAGCAGATCCCACTGTAGGAGCTGAGCCCTAGCTGGGCTGGGGATTCTGCCTCTGGAAGGGCATCCTTGTGACACAGAAGACAGTGGCTCACAGGCCAGCAGTTCCCCAAAAAGAAGAAAAAAGATGGGATGGAGACACAGTCTTTGTCCAGTGTGGACCATTCCTTTCCCTTTCTTCCTGGGATCCTCCAAGGGGACCTTCATCCTGCTACACCAGCCCACAAACCTTGAAACAAATATGCTTTACTTTCTTCTCATCATCCATCCATCCATCCAACCATCCATCAATCCACGCACCCACCCACCCACCCATCCATCTACTCACCCATGCATGCATCCATCCATCCATGCATCCATGCATCCATCCATCTGTCCATCCATCCATCTATCCATCCATCTAACCATTAATTCATTTTGTTAATTTTAGAAGTATTTAGTGCACAACTATGCAAGGTTTTTATATACCCTGTAATCATAAAAGGTAAGTAGTAATAATTCCACTTATAGATGAAGAAAGAGAAATTCAGAGAGGTTAAGTAACTTGCCCAAGGTCACACAGTTTGCCAGATGGAGCCAGGCTTGCCTCTGCAGTTAAAGATGGTGCCATGCGCACCTCACCATCCCGCCTCCCACAGCTGCTTTTGGCTCTGTTTAAATATCCTTCAGTCTCCAGCTTGGCTCCCATCTGCTCTTGGAAAGTCCCCTACAAGGACCTCACTTTCTGAAAGAGCAGCCATACTTTGGACAATATGGCATATAGATGAAGGGTTTGCAAAATATATGTGTCTTTGATGTATAAATTCCTCCTGTAAACATTTGTCTTAAGAAAATAATTATCCAAGTGCCTGATGTACGTAAATGATGCTCATTACAGGAGATTTTTAAAAAAACAGTTGGGCCAGTTGAAGTGACTCACACCTATAATCTTAGCTACTTGGGAATTGGAGAGCTGGAGGATCTGGGGCTGGGGAGAAGTTGGTGAGACCCTATCTCAACTAACGAGTCAGGCATGGTCGCACACACTGTAATTCCAGCTATGCAGAAGGACTTAGGTAGGATGATCATAACCTAAGGCTGGTCTGTACAAAAGCAAGCCTCTATCTGAAAAATAACTAAAGCAAAAAGGGTTGGGGGAATAGCTTAAGTGGTAAAGCACCTGCCTAGCAAGCATGAGGGCCTGAGTTCAAACCCCAGTAGTGCCGTCCAACACAAAAAAAGTTGGGCATAATTTATGTATCCAGCAAGAGGGGAGTACTTAAAGAAATTACGATGCATCCACTTAAAGGAATGCCAAAGAATCAAAACTGTATATATTTTTGGCTTGGAAACATTTACTTTAAATATTTTTCAGTGAATGAAGCAAGTTACAAAGTAATACATAAAATCTAATTTTATTACGTAAAAGTAAGCTTTTTTAGAGGCAACGAAAGGTGTAAAAGATTAGCAGTAATTACATCTGGGTGGAGGAAGGAGGGATTAGATGTGATTTTTCCCATGACAAACTTGCATTGTTTCACACAACATTAAAATAGCTGGTGGGGCGGTAGCTCAGTGGTACAGTGCTTGCCTAGCATATGTGACCCTGAGTTCCATCCCAGCATTGAAAAAAAAATTAAACTAAAAATTTAATTCATTTATCTGGGATTTGAATTCAGCACCTTGCACTTGCTAGGCAGGTGCTCTACCATTTGAAACATGCCTTTAGTCTGTTTTAAAATAAAAATTTTAAAAGGTGCTTGTGTCCTGGGGTTCAGGGTAGGTCTGACAAGATTACCCCACCCCAAGGAAATGTCCATGGAAGAATTTTAACGTGGGTTCCTCTGCCAGCTCAGTGCTGAGTGATGCTGTCCTCAAGTGGGGGGACACACTGCCTTTCACATTAGTCTGGCAGGTTTTCACAGTTACCTAGATAGTGAAACTTTCATGCCCCTGGTGTCTGGGAGGGAGAAGGAAACGCTGATCACTCATTTTTATTTTTAAACTTCAACCTAATGTCCCTTGGAACTTTTCAAGTGAGTGACTGTAGCACTGTGGCCATGTCTTGTGTCTGGAATTTGATCCAGGGTCAGGAGAATGGAGCCTCCCACTCACCTGTTCAGTGACTGAGGACTTTATCTCTTGCAGTATTGCTGTTTCTCTGTCTATATTGACCTCTGTAGCTCCGTCCAGTGCAAAAGCGCTGTGTTGTAGTTCTGATTCCTGGAGAGAACTAGGTTGGAGGAGAAGATGCTGGGAAGGATGGAGGGAGATGGTGCCTGTGAGCAACCATAACCTAGAGAAATGCCGTGTCGCTGAGAGTGGTTTGTTGCTTGAGTAGAATTCCCTCCCATCCATTCCTGGCACATCCTTGGGCCAGGCTGTCATCTCCAGTGCTCAGTTAGAAAGCCGGAAGAGCCTTGAGTCAGAGTCCTCCGGGGAACACTCCAGAAGATATGAGGACCAGGGACCTGGGCATAAAGGTCTACAAGTAAGTGACTTTTCCATGGGGAGCTCTTAGCTCCCTATTGCTGACCTCCTATCTGAGAACACACCTCATTTGTCCCTTCTGTAGGAGGCAGTTTTGAGATAGTGACTCTGGTTTCAGGATGCAGACTGGGGCCCCCTTCACCTAAATGAAAATCTTCACCTGTTTAGTAGTACGCTTAGGTGGTGCTGATGTGGCTGGTCTAGAACAATCTAGACCATCCATGTCTATACCACATTGAGTCTATAGTCATGAGTCCAGAACTTTCATCTCAAGCAGTGGTTATCAAAGTGTGGTCCCTGGACTAGCAACATGAGTAGGACCCAAGAACTTGTTAGCAGTACAAATTGCTGTGTTGTTTTTTGTTTTTTGGGACAGGGTCTCACTATGTAGCCCAGCCTGGCCTTGAACTCATGATCCTCCTACCTCAGATTCCCAAGTGCTGGGATGATAGGTGTGTGCCACCATGCATGTGTTTTAACAAGTTCTTCAGATGATGTTGAAACAGGTTAAAATTTGACAGCCACCTGTCTAGAGAGACACTGTTCAGTTTTTCAGACATTAACCACATGTGGCTATTTAAATTAAAATAATGAAAATTAAATTAAAATTCAACTCCTTGGTCACGCTATCCACACTGCAAGGGCTTAAACATGTGGCCAGTAGCTACCACATTGGGATGTGCACAAAGCCTTTCCCTTGACCATTTGAGTTTTAAGGAGTGGGCAGGAGATGGTCAGGGTTTTGCAAGCAGGGAAGAAAACCAGAAGGTAAGATCTTCTCTCTGGAGCTGCCCAGGTGTCTGTGCACTGGGAACTTTGGTCTTAATTCCAAAGAAATGTGGAATTGTGGGAGGATTTTATTAACTTTTTTTGTGGTACTGGGGATCAAACTCAGGGCTTCGTGCATGCTAGGCAACTGTGGAGGAATTTTAAAAGTGATAGTGACATTGCACAATTTTTTAAATTGAGGTGAAAGTCATAGTCCGTAATGTTAACCATTTTAGGCTGGCAGAGTGGCTCAAGTGGTAACAGTGCCTGCCTAGCAGGTACGAGGCAGTACCACCATAAATAAACAAATAAATAAATAATGTGTGTTTCCCTGTAGCCAAATTCTCAGAACCAAGAGATCAATTTATTTAAAAAAAAAAAAAAAGCAGTGGGGAGGGGCATGCTGGTGGAGTGGTGATAGAGCACCTGTCTAGCAAGTGTGAATTCCTGAGTTCAAACCCCAGTACCACCAACAAACAAAACAAAAAAACATTACAATGGTATAATTCAGTGGTATTTAGCAAATTCACAGTGTTGTACAGTAACTAACAACCTCTGTCAGGTGCCAAAATCTTTTGTTCACCTCCAAAAGAAAAGCCCGTACCCTTTAAACAGTTACCTCCCAATTCCCACCACCCATTCGGCACAGTATTCAGTTTTAAAAGCTCCCATTTAATGGGACCTCATAAAGCTAAAAAGCTTCTGTTCATCAAAAGAAATGGTCTCTAAACTGAAGAGAACACCCACAGAGTGGGAGAAAATATTTGCCAACTACACATCAGACAAAGGACTGATAACCAGGATATATAGGGAACTTAAAAAACTAAATTCTCCCAAAACTAATGAACCAATAAAGAAATGGGCACATGAACTAAACAGAACTTTCTCAAAAGAAGAAATTCAAATGGCCAAAAAACACATGAAAAAATGCTCACCACCCCTAGCAATAAAGGAAATGCAAATTAAAACCACACTAAGATTCCACCTCACCCCTGTTAGAATAGCCATCATCAGCAACACCACCAACAACAGGTGTTAGCGAGGATGCGGGGAAAAAGGAACCCTCTTACACTGTTGGTGGGAATGTAAACTAGTACAACCACTCTGGAAAAAAATTTGGAGGCTACTTAAAAAGCTAGACATCGATCTACCATTTGATCCAGCAATACCACTCTTGGGGATCTACCCAAAAGACTGACACAGGTTACTCCAGAGGCACCTGCACACCCATGTTTATTGCGGCACTATTCACAATAGCCAAGTTATGGAAACAGCCAAGATGCCCCACCACTGACGAATGGATTAAGAAAATGTGGTATCTATACACAATGGAATTCTATGCAGCCATGAAGAAGAACGAAATGTTATCATTCGCTGGTAAATGAATGGAATTGGAGAACATCATTCTGAGTGAGATTAGCCTGGCCCAAAAGACCAAAAATTGTATGTTCTCCCTCATATGTGGACATTAGATCAAGGGCAAACACAACAATGGGATTAGACTATGAGCACATGATAAAAGCAAGAGCACACAAGGGAGGGGTGAGGATAGGTAAGACACCTAAAAAACTAGCTAGCATTTGTTGCCCTTAACGCAGAGAAACTAAAGCAGATACCTTAAATGCAACTGAGGCCAATAGGAGAAGGGGACCAGGAACTAGAGAAAAGGTTAGATCAAAAAGAATTAACCTAGAAGGCAACACCCACGCACAGGAAATCAATGTGAGTCAACTCCCTGTATAGCTATC